AAGTTTCTGGGAATATGGTGGCCTGAAGAATGATGGAGACAAAAAAGTTTGCAAATGTTAAAAGAAGAGAGAAAAGCATTTCAAATTTGAAAATTTTGGGGAAGGAAAAAAAACATTTTTTTTATATTTATTTTTTTGAATTAACGGTAACATTGACATTTCGCTTTCGTCGTCATAAATAAATGACTCTTTACGTTGGAAAAATAAATAAATTTATATCTCATGTCTCGCGTGATACTTAATATTTCTAAATTTGCTTCAGGTACATATGTATATGGTTAAGTACGAAATGAGCACTTTACTTATTGTTTCTTAGTTTTTCACCCTGCGACTCTTTAGAAGCAACAAAAACGTCCATTTCGTGTATATCAGTATATGTGAATCTCTCCCTTATACATATGTCCTCTCAATAATCTCCATTTATTTTCTTTACTAATGAAAAACAAAAGAACAAGTAAGAATTGTAGCAGTAAGTATTATTAGATTACAGAATCACCACAACTCCATTATTCTTAACGTGCAACTACTGAAATACGCATAAGTGACATCTATTTCAGAGAATTCTTGATATCGATCACGAAACGGTACTTGATGTCTTTCTTCACTACCCTTTCAAGAGCTTCGTTTATCTTTTGAATAGGAATCACTTCTATATTCGGATAAATCTTATGAGCTGCAGAGAAATCTATCATTTCCTGAGTCATTTTCGTACCTCCGGTTACACTTCCCACGAGCATTCTCATACCTATCCCAAAGCCTTTAGGTCTTAGCATCTTTAAGGGTATATATAAATGAATTACAAGAGTTTTTGTAATGCATACCAAGATTAAGATTTGCAGGACTGATTTTGATTTCACTTGGGAAACCAACCAAGGCATAAGTTCCAGCGATCTTCAAGAGCGACATGTAAGGATCAAACGGATGATCACCAGATGCTGTGTCAATCACAAAGTCTAGAGATTTCGCTAATGCCTGCAAGTAAAAATCATATATATATGTCCCAAGTCAAGTAAGTTGTTCTTTCTTCTTTTGATGTCATAACTGATGATCACAAGAATATATAAAAACCTCTCTTTATACCTTCATCTGGTCATGATCAGACGAAATAACAAAGTTTTTAGCTCCTAAAAGATTCAAAGCTTCCTCTTTCTTAGAAATACTGGTGCTAAAAACAGTCACATCAAGTCCAAAAGCCTTGCCAAACTTAACCGCCATATGGCCAAGACCACCTAGCCCAATCACCCCTAGAGATTTACCAGGTTGATTCATATTATGACGTATCATAGGCGCATAAACCGTGATTCCAGCACATAATAACGGTGCAGCTGATTCCAGAGGATAGTCCACAGGTATCTTATAGCAGTACCTATTGAATTCAAGAAAATTAGTACTAGCTTCCATCTACTCATTAGGCACACACAACTTTGATCAAAGATATGAAATGGCAAAAGAGAGAAGATGATTATAATAACCTCTCATGAACAACAATGTGACTGGAGTAGCCTCCTTTTGTAACAGAACCATCATGGTCAATGGCATTAAAAGTGAAAACTTGACCTTTTACACAACTCACTTCTTGACCTTCGTTACAATACTCACACTCCCTGCAAGAGTTAACATACGTTCCAACACCAACATGATCTCCAACTTTGAATCGACCAACATTAGACCCAACCTTATTCACTATTCCAGCAATCTCATGCCTTAGAGAAGAAACAAAAAAAAGGAATATTTAATTTAATACACAAGCAAAGGGAAAGTTTGATGATTTAGAGAATTGGGTTATGTTAAAAGTCAAACCCAGGAATCAAAGGGTACTTAGAGTCTCCATGTTTGTTCCTTGTCCATATAACATCAGCGTAACACACTCCGCAATGAGTGATTTTGAGTGAAACATCGTCACTTGTAACAGATCTGTATATGAACATTTTTGTGTCAAAAAATTGCTTGAAATGAGTGAAAATTTGATCTAATGAATATTTACCTGCGAGTGAAAGTATGAGGAGAAAGAAGACCAGATGGGTCTCTTGCAGCCCAGCTCAAGCACTCGTCTTCCCCACTCTCCGAACAACTCATTGGCGATTGTCTTCTTCTTCTTCGATTGGTGAGTTTATTGGTGTTTATCCGATCCAGAAACAGAGCAATTTTTGGTTTTTTAATCTCCTAAAGTATTATTGGTGGGTAGCTTTTGATTAGCTCATTTTGCTAACAATGAAGCCCATCATGCATAATAAAGCCCATTTTACGTCCTTCATCGACTCTTTTTAGTAAAATTTTCAATTGATTTAGATAACCACTGATGGGTAAATTTGATAGTCTCAGTGTAATTGGGAAATCAAACAAACAGTTTTGTGGATGACTCTATGGTGGATAATTCTATTCACTCCACAAAAATTTACGACAGACGGTTCTACGTGCACTATGTTCACGAGTGACAATTTTTAACGCTAACACAAAGTATTACCACAAACGGATTTGTTTGCACTACGATGGAGATAACTCGCATTTTTATAAAGCCTAACCCCAAAACTCCTATACCCAAAAACCTAAAAAAAACAAGTTTAATTGTCCAAGTGGGAAAAAAAGAAGAAGTCAGTCGTGGATTCGGGTCCACGTCCGGGTCATGTCGGAAGTGGGGGCCCATTACTGTTCTTTACATCTGACGGTCCACATTTAACGCATCTCATTCCGAGTAAAATCCCAAAAGAGCAATCGCCTAGAACAACCAAAAAAAGGAAGCAGGAAGATCATCTAGCAGAGAACCAGAACCATCATCAATGGCGGATCAAAACCGAAACTCTTTATCAGGTACACACAAACGAACGATCAGATCTTATGGGTTTTGAATTCGCCATGAATTCTTTTGTTAAAGGAAAGACTTTGATCAAAATTCTGATCATTTCATCAATTTGACGAGCCTATGATTGAAGAAGACCAATTGCTCTGTTTTCTCATCTCTTATGACAATACGAATCTATTCACTTTTTTTTTTTTTTTAATTGGGTTTGTTTGTAGAGGAAAAGACTGTGAAATCGCCTAATGTGTTTGAAAGGGTTAAAGAAGAAATAGAAGCAATGGGTCATCATCATGAAAAGTCCAAGACTCATCGTCACCATCATCACAAAGAGACTCATGGAACAAGTGACGATATTGATCAGAACACATCGGTTGATTATGTGAAAGGACCTGGTTTCTTTGAACGTGTCAAAGAAGAGTTTGAAGCCATTGTTGATGCTGTTACTCCAAAGCATTCTTCTAGGAAGTAAACTTTTCATTATATATGCCTATATGTTATAATGCATAAATTGAGAGATCTAGACAATAAACTCAGTTTCATGTATCTGAATGTTGGACCTCTAATGCAATATCGTTACTCTTACAAATGTAACAACAAAAACTCTTATCTATTATTCGAGAGAAGGAACCAAGACATGTAGGTTAGTGGTTTGTATGTGTCGTTATTGCATTAGCACGGCACTCGGGTTCAATCCCGCATAGTGCATCATATTATTGACAATGAAATCTCCGGGAACCAGGACTCGAGGCTATTTCAGATGAATATTGAGACTTGTTAATCAAATCTGCAAAGAGAATGTAAGTGCTTGAGAGTGGCTTTAGTCGCATTTTACGTCTAATTAGTTTATCTTTGAAATACCTGACCTTGAGTTTACCCCAAGATTTCATAAGATGTAAAACCTCCTTAAGTCCTAAGCTAGTCTTGAAAATCGGTGTTGAACTTCTAATGGACATGCAAGTTGATAAGGTTTGTTGTTGAACCAAATACATAAAGCAAACATCTTACCATATTACGTGAAATTACAGTCACACTCTCAATTGTAATCAAGGTTTGCGCGAAATTACAGTCACACTCTCAAGTCAATCGACAATAAAATTCAGTGTTTAAAACAAATTATATTCATACAAATAGAATAAATTCTTTTAAATTCCGACCAAGTTTGCGAGTTAATCGCAATGATCTCATAGGATTCAAAGAAAGTCGAGAGAGAATAGCCTCCACCAAATCTCTTGGAAGATCACTATTTATTTTCCTATGATTTCTTTCAGTCAACAGGGTAGCATACCAGGGTGAGAACTAATGATGAACGCGAACGAATATGAGTATGGCAAAAACTTTTGAGAATTGCAGTTATCTCATAACTCATAAATATATTGTAATTATGTCAAATAAATTATATGAAAAGCCACTCAATTCCATGAAAAAACAAGTCAAATCTCTTTT